CTCAATAAAAACATCCATATACAAAAACTGTATTTATGAAAAGTTCATGCAAATTGTTAAAAATTGCATCATATGTCAAAGGCAGTATATTGGCTAGCTTCTGATATTCTTCATTATACTTCTATTGTTTTAAACCAGTTTTGAGATAAACCATCATTCCTGCTCTGCTATAGTATAGATGAATGCTACAGTTCCAATAGCTTATTTTTATTCCTTTAAACACACTCTCACAGTTGCCTTCCTACTTCACAAGCCAAATCTTGACTATGCACTATTTGGTTCATATCACTAAAGCAACATAAATTAAGGTTACTATCTGGCCAAATAAGATATAGAATTAATAATGTATTTGATGTATCATTTTAAGAAGACCCATTACCTAACTAATTAAAATGTAAATGTTATCAGAGTAGATTACATATACTACACAGGTCCCAGAGACATGTTTGTGTTCTTGCCTACATTTCAGCTCTACTTATCTGAAATTAACCTTTTCATAGTTCTTTTTAATCTGAAAAATCATAGATTGAATTTTTTGTTAATGCAAATTTCCTTTTTTCCCTTGACTTGCAAAAACAGGCACAATTTGAAAGTAATATTTGTTTTGCCATATTTTACTGCATTTAAACATAAAGCCTTTACTTTCCAATATATACTCACAGAACACTGAGGATACACACTGTAAAATACACAAAAAAACCTATTCAAATACTCAGCTCCAAGAGGACAATTACGTATGTGGCAAAAAATGCAGGCTGCACTATCTCACCATATTTTGAGATAAAACATATTCTCAGTAATAATACCCATCTGCTTGCACTCTCTTGCTATTTCTATTATTTCATTGAGTCACTGTCTCTTTTACCAGATCACTTTTCTCTGATTTACAGCTTGCAAGAAGCATTAAGTCAGGACTGTTGAAATGAGGGCCAGCTATTACAGCAGATATATTTTCTATGAAGAGAATTCAGAGCAATATATGATACAAGAGAACATAATTTCATCTATATAGTTTGGACACTGAGGCCTAATTTTCAATTATTCAATTATTCTGTTTAGGGTTTTAAGTGTTTTAAGTGTTTTGTGATAATCAGCAAAAACTAATTAGACATAAAACTATAAGACATTCATTTTCAAACACTTAACTACATTGTAAATGCTAATATTAGCAGATTACATGGCATTTTGTTTGGTTGCTTCATTAAATGATTGCTAGAGAATGCTCTAAAAACAGTAACATTTGCCCACCAATACCTTCAGAATCCATAGCAGATGCTTCCTTATTGAAGGAAAGGCACAAATTATGTACATTTACTGTCAAGCACACTAGATAGACAAACAACCACTACTTACATTCAGAAAGTTGCAGAATGATGTCAGAACTGCTTTGTGTCACTAGGAAGTACAAAATATTCCTGGATATAAATGAATTAAGAGAAATGGTTCTAGAATATTAGGTCAGAATTGTAAACTATCATCACCA